TATATATTTTTTTAAGAGAGGTTTTTGCTATAGGGCACGTGTGCTCACCAGAGAGACAGAGAGACAGAAAGCGAGAAATCACCCCCCAGGCCATGCTGCAATCCCCTCTCCTCCATTCTGCTCTTGGGATCTTGGGCACACACACACACGGACCCAGCATGAGTTTAAACCACTGGGTCTGGGACTTGGACAGCAGCCGACTACATGGGAGTCCAGCAACATAGCCATTATGCCAACTGCTGGTCCCCATCAGGAAATCTTTAAGTTAATAACAAAGAAATACATTTTAAAAATTCTTTATCATGAATTTTCTATGACTTATCCACCTACTGTCCCATTGTTCCGTGGTTCCAGCTCCCACCCCACTTGAGAAGAGCCAAAGGTGGGGAAGGACCTAACCAGGGAAGGATGGAAATAGTGAGGAGGTGGTTTATTCATGCACAAGTATCTAATGAGCTCCCACTCTGTGCTAGGCATTGTTTTGTACCCAGGGAATGGAAACAAAAACAACTAAGATTAGGGCTCCACATAAACTGTGCCACTCATGGGGCTGATAAGTGGCATGGTGGATATAGATGCTAGTTTCCTACATGGCTGACCTTGGTTGGAGCCCTGGATCTGTGGCTTGCTTTCTTGCTTCCCCTTTGTCTCTCTGTCTCTGTCTGGTCAAATTTAAAAAAATAATAAAAACAAATGGAATTAAATAAATAATTCTTTAAAAAAATAAACTGTGTCACCCAAGTCATCTCCAGCAATATGTTTTTTCTTTATTTTCTTATTTTTTTTACTTTTAATCATTGTACACCTTTACAGCATGTAAAATGAAATCAGACAGGGCTTCACTCGGTGTGGGATCCTTCATTCATTGAGCAAAGATTGTCAGGGCAGTTTATACCACAAGGTAGACTAGTAGGCTGCCCCAGAATTACCTAGAGAGTGTGCTGAAAACAGCTTCTCTGACTCTTCCCTTGGAAAGGCTAATCTAAGTCATTCAGTTAGTCTGTATATCTATTTTTTGCTATAGGGCTGTGTGTTCTCTAGAGAGAGCCGGGGTGTGGAGGGGGTGGAGGAATAAGGTGGGTAAGAAATCACTCCCCAGAGGGATGGCCACACCACATCCCTTCTCCTCCACTCTCCTCTAGGGATTTTGGGCATGCATGCACACATGCCCAGTGTGATTTTCAAGCCACTGGGTTCAGGACTGGAACCATGGAGTTAGCCATATGGAATCCAGTGCCTTAATTTCCATGCCTTAACTTCCTGCTGGCCCAAGATGTGTGTTTTTTAACAAACTTTTTTGGTGATTCTGTGGTTAGACAGGTTTGGAACCACAGACTCGAATGACTTTCTTAGATCCTTTCCAAGTTGAAAAGTATTGACTTCATGATCTTTGACAAATGGCCTTCCGTTATTTGGTTAGCCTTTTCTTTATCTGGACAGACAGTTAGCTTTTTATTTTTATTTTATTTTAAAATTTTCTTCCACTGGTTGAGCCAAACCAGGAGCCAAAGGTAAGGGTGGAGCAGTCCCAGGGAGTCAGCCTCCAGGCAGTGGGAGCAGGGCACCCAGGAGACCTGGGGGTAAAATGGAGTTCCCCAGCAGCCTCCGCCTTCCTCAGAATAGTCCACTGAAGCTCCTGATGGATCTTCTTCAGACTAACATCTCCAACAATTATGCATTTCTTACACAATGAAACATAATTGTTTTAAAGTAATTTAAAGGTTTTATTTATTTATTTATTGTTTTTTGCTATGGGTCGTGTGCATTTGCCAGCAAGAGACAGACAGAGCAAGAGAGAGAGAGGAAAAGTGAGAAAACACCTACCAGGAGGGTAGCCATGCTACAAGCCTGTCTCCATTCTCCCCTAGGGATTTTGGGCATGCCTGGCATGATTTTCAAGCCACCAGGTCTGGGACTAGAACTGTGCCAGGTGAGACCCAGTCTTAACCACCATGCTACCTGCTGGCCCAGTATTTAAAGTTTTAAAGGATTTTTATTTTACTGTGTACCCAATGTTTCCCTTTTAAAGTGTCTTGGTAAAATATATGTCATTTTTTAACTCTAAATTTGTCTGCAGAAAATTACAGGCAAAGTAGAACTCCCAAATCACAGATCTAGATAGATTTGTTCTAGTTCCACTGTCCGGGGCTCTGAGACCTTTCCTCTCCCTTAAAGAAGCCCTTCTTGGGGGATGTAATAACAGTTGAGTTCTAGCACCTCCTATCCCCTCAAACAGGAACTTCCTTTCTACTCCCCTGTGGGTCCCATTGCCCTGGGGCATTTAGACCCAGTGAATTCTTCCACCTTCTCACCCAGGTTCTTCTTTACCCAGCAACAGATAGAGTAACTCTGAGAAATGATATGATTGGCTGGATGTAGCAGGGGTCTCCCCTATTCTCTCTACTTCCTCCTTGTTTCTGTACCCTCTACACAGGGCACAATGGTCCTCAGTCCAGGGCTGGTCCTGGGACTCCACACCCTGATGACCCTTCTAAACACCCAGAAAACACAGGCTGTAGAGGGTGAGTGCCCAAGGTGATGGGGTGGTGGGAGCAGGGGTGAGTGGAATGGGGGAATGGAGTGGGGATGCAAGGAAAAGAGATTAAGGACTTGGGTTACAGGAGGGAGACAGCTTAGAGGATCCTCGTTCCTCTTCCTCTTTGGGGAGCTCATGTGTGGCTTTTTTCACCATGGATCCCAAGTCCCTTTCACCTCTATCATGTGGGTTCTGGATCTAAATATGGTACAGCTCAGTCTAGAGATACCAATGTCTCGTTTGGGTGTTTTTCATGTTCAGATATCTCTCTGTTCCCTACTTCCTAATCCCAAACTTGACCCTACTGCCATCCAGTGCCCTAATTTCTCTACTATTTCTTGACTTGGCATGGTCTATCTTGGTATTTGTGGCTATGTCGATAGTTAATGGTTCTCTGTCTTATTCTGCCCTCGACGTGAGCTCCTGGTGTGCGGGTCCCTGCTGGTTCATCTTTATTTCTTTCATTTCCTTGACCTGATATCATGCTGGCCACACGGTAGTCCCTTGATGACCGTTGAACAAATAAATAATTCCATAGCATTCTAAAAGAATCTTCCCAATTAAAACCTAAGCCTCATTTTCAGAGAGCCGCATCCCAGGTATGGTGAGAGTCACGTTCAGTCGCGATGCTCTGAGATGGAAGAGCTTAGGGGAGAAGTCTGAGGTTTTGATTTCCAGGGCAGTGCTCTTTGAAATGACTCGGGTTGCTTTTTCTATCCCCCCTGGGACTCTGTGTCACTGATCTAAATTTATACTCTGCCAATCATTGCCAGTTTCCCCTCCTTACCACCCCATGGCATCTGTGTGTGGTGCTCCACTTGAGATCCTTAATCGTTTCCTTCTCATCTCACCACCACAACCTAGGACCTGAGAACATGGCCAGAGTGGATGGTCATAGCTGAGATTTAACCTGGGGAACCCCAGGTCTGGCTTTTGCCCCCTCTCCTCTCTCAGCCTGCTATGCCAGACTGCACTGTGTCCCTGTGCTGGCCGTGGCATGGGCCTGTGCCAGTTTCCCTCCATCCTCTACAAGGGCCAGCTCAGTGTCAGGACAGCTCTCTGTCCCCACACAGAACCCCGGATGGAGGGCAGGCTCAGAGACTCAACATACCACACATCAGGGATGAATCTCATGCATTCTCTTTTCTCTCCCTGACCCTGAACTCACCGACACAGCCGACCACATGGGCTCCTATGGACCAGCCTTCTACCAGTCTTACGGTGCCATGGGTCAGCTCACCTACGAATTCGATGGGGAACAACTGTTCTCTGTGGACCTGAAGAAAAGGGAGGTCGTGTGGCGTCTGCCTGAATTTGGTGACTTGGCCCATTTCGCCCCTCAGAATGGGCTGGCCAGCATTGCCGTGATCAAAGCCCATCTGGACATCTTGGTGGAACGCTCCAACCGCACCAGAGCCACCAATGGTACCTGCACTGCCCTTTCCACCTCGCCAGGCAGCGGAGACCATAGAAGCTTCTCCCCCTCCTGAGCCTCTGCCACTCCGACGCACGCTCTCTCGGAATTCATGATGGCTGTGCTTGGCCCTTTCTTTTACAGAAGGCTCCAGGTCTTCCCAGATCCCTTCAGTACCATCTTCCTTCTTGGGGGGGCGGGGGGCTATGGCGGAGGCGGGATCTT